TCGCGAGCAAGAATATTGCACGGCGCCACAGCGAGAGCGCTTCGACACGCACAATCTCCGCAGAGGGTTCGCCGAGACTAAGACAAATTCGCACGGCGCCACAGCGAGAGCGCTTCGACGCGCACGATCTCCGCAGAGGGTCGCGCGCGGCTTGCAGAAATCGTAAAAAGTCTCAGTTTTTGAACCTCGACCACGCGAATCTCCGCAGAGGGTCGCGCGCGCACCGCAGAAATCGTAAAAAGTCCCCAGTTTTTGAACCTCGACCACGCGAATCTCCGCAAAGGGTCGCGCGCGCATGCTCAAAATCGTAAAAAGTCCCCAGTTTTTGAACCTCGACCACGCGAATCTCCGCAGAGGGTCGCGCGCGGCCAGCAGAAATCGTAAAAAGTCCCCAGTTTTTGAACCTCGACCACGCGAATCTCCGCGAGCGACGATCAAACTCCCGCCCCGGCGCCTTAGAAACCTAAACTAACTTACATAGCTGCTAACGCCGAAGCTCTAAGCTCTACCTAACCTTGGCTCTATGTAACTTGGCTCTATGTAACTTGGCTCTATGTAACTTGGCTCTATGTAACTTGGCTCTATGTAACTTGGCTCTATGTAACTTGGCTCTATGTAACTTGGCTCTATGTAACTTGGCTCTATGTAACTTGGCTCTATGTAACTTGGCTCTATGTAACTTGGCTCTATGTAACTTGGCTCTATGTAACTTGGCTCTATGTAACTTGGCTCTATGTAACTTGGCTCTATGTAACTTGGCTCTATGTAACTTGGCTCTATGTAACTTGGCTCTATGTAACTTGGCTCTATGTAACTTGGCTCTATGTAACTTGCTCTATGTAACTTGGCTCTATGTAACTTGGCTCTATGTAACTTGGCTCTATGTAACTTGGCTCTATGTAACTTGGCTCTATGTAACTTGGCTCTATGTAACTTGGCTCTATGTAACTTGGCTCTGTGCAACTTGGCTCTGTGCAACGTATGTCCAGGGCACTGCAAATGAGAGCCAGTTGGTCAAGTTTTTTTGGTCAAAACTCGGCGGGCGCCCGACCAATTAAAGCTGAGGTGCGGGAAATGTCGCCGCTGGCACACAGATGTCGATTGGCCCGTTGGCCCCAGTCGGGTGGGAACCACTGGTTTGCACGGGTGTGGGTCCAAAAAATTGGTCATGTTCCCTTCGGCTGGCCCCGGCGGACGCGCAGCTTGTGTTGGCTGATCCTTTGAAGGCCTATGGTACATGGTAACCTCAGGCATGTCCATTGAGCTGTGTGTCCTCCTTGACAAAATTTAGTGACATTGGATGTGTTCACGACATGATGGTCCACACCCTCGGCATCAAGGCCGGAAGGGACAGGGTTCATGTTCGACTGCCTGATCATTGCTGGAAGAGCATCAAGCCAAGCAGTGCAAGAGCAAGCACCGATCGCTGCAGCATCATGTCAACATTGTTGACAATCCGGAGTCCGTCTCACACAGGGTCAGGATGTGTCGTGTCGAGGCTTCAATATCACTGGTTTCATGTGGGCGTGTCGTTTCTTAGGGGACCCCGCCAAATGGCTTCGATTTTCCTGCTCATTTCCCACTTCATTTCCCTTTAAGACCACCAAAGAAAGGTACCAACTCGGAGAACAAATAGAAAAATACCCATGTTGGTTCCCACCAGAACAGAGTACCAGTTCCCATTTTTCAGGCTTTGGCTTCTCTTCAAACATCGATTCGAATCCAATGGGTCCAGAAGGAGCCTTTGGTGGTCAAAATGCGGTGGGGATGTATGTCCACCGTCCGCACCTTTCTTTGAGGTGATAGTCTGAAGTCTCTTTGGCGGTACTGCCTTACTTGAATTGGGTAGCCCGCAGCATGAGCCGAAAGTTGTATTCTGAGTGTCAAAACTGCCCATGAGAGTGGTCATTTATTCAACCGGAAACCAAAATGGCATGAATATGGTTTACACTTTTTTTTTGCCAGAACCTGGCAGGTTGTTATACTGCACCTCATGACCCGGCGTTGAAACTAGAAGCTGTCGCTCCATTATCGATCGGGTTAGGCCCACCCGGTTGCCGAAGATCTGGGGACATTTCATTTTTGCCACACGGTTGCCGTACGAAAAGGATTGTGCGACCCTCGCAATGGGTGGTTTCCGTTTGGTTTCCCACTAAACCAACCCCGAAAGGTCCCCAACTCCAGCAAAGACACCCATGTGTTGTGTGGAAACCTCCGAACATATGGTGAAAACACCAAACATTGGTTTCCGTACCACCAACATCCAAGAGGAAAGCTGTCTTTCAGGGGTCGAAGTGCACCATGTGAGTGGGCTGGGAGGGCATAGGTGTCCTTTTTGGTTGGTTTGCTTCAAAACTAGAGGGCCCTGGTTTAGATTGGGTTTATTCCATTTAGGGAAACCCATCGATTTTTCCAAAAGGCCACCTAGGGAGGGTCGCATCTCGGTTTTCGCTTCCGAAAATTTTCGCGGCCTGAGGCTTTCCCTCTGCAGGAGACGGAGCCCTGTTCCGCGCCGGAGCCTTGAGTCGATGGTCCTGGAGTGGCCTTTGAGACTCCGCCCAAAGTGCCAAGAGGGTCGCAGAGCCGGGCTCCTGGAGTCTCCGGATCTGACCCGAATCAAAATGGGTCCATGACCAACCATTATTTTGGGTTGTGACCAACCATGTTTAAAAGGGTCAGATGGAGACTCCGGGTTGATAGTTTTCAGGGCAAAGGGTCGCCAATGGCCATGAGAGCAGGTTGCGTCACCTCGCAGGCAAGTGGGCAATGACCCCATAGAAAACAGTTCCTGGAGTCTCCTTCTGACCCTTCCAAAATGGGGTCATTACTCAAAATAATGGGGTCATGGATCCATTTTTAAAGGGTCATGGAGACTCCAGGTTGACAGTTTTCGGGCAAAAGGGCAGCTTCTCAAAGTATGGTCGATGTGCCTCAAATCCACTTCTCACCACTTGGGATTTGCTTATTCCAGTGTTTGAACCTATTTAGTGAATATCCCTAGAAGTTAACGTTGTTTGCCAGCAGAATCTCCCAGGAGACAGCATCTTGCAGAAATGCAGATTGTCTTTAATCGCAGACCAATGCTCTGAACTCTGAACTTTTTTCCCTTGATTTCCCTTCAAGTTAGGACCGGGGCATTGCATGAGTTGTTGGAGCAGTACTAGAACCTGATGAGCGAACGGTTCCGAGATCATGGCAGCTGGCTGAAGCCTCACTCATCTAAGTTCCTTTTTTGGGGGACCCTACTTTTGCTTGGTGAGTTACAAAGCACCCGAAAGTATTCAATGCCATAAACGCACCAAGACAATGCCAACCTTCGCCAGAGCAGCACAGTTCCTTTAGTGTATATTGAAATGCAAAGCAGAGACAGGTTATGGAAAAGCAGGGAAAAGCCAACCAGCCACTTCCTAAATTGCACTTCTCAGATACAGAAATGGGAATAGGCAGGCAGCAGCCAAGAACACATAACAACAGTGGTCAGTAATGAGACTTCCTTATTCTCTTGTGAAATCTGTCCGTAATGTGCCCATGGCGTGTTTTTTCCACTGCTGAAGGAGAAGTTAAAGAAGGTAGCCAAACTTCACACCGGTCCAAGCCAAAGCTGAGTGGTACCGACGGCACCCGAGCCTTAGGCCGCCCTGCTAGCCGCTACAAAAGCGCGCGGTGGGGAGATGCCTTCGGGATGCTCGGGCGAAATCCTGGGGTGCCCTAAAGTGAACACGTCAGAAATGTTCTCAGAGGGTCCCTTGATACCTCCTGAGGATGGCTGCTGGGGGTCAAAAGGGGTCTGAGTAAACCCACCATTTAGAAGGTAATCTTGAGGATGCCACTGCAAAAGAATGAACACGCACATGGTTCATTTCTCCAGAAAAAGAAGGGGACGGATCATGTTGTTCTCCAATAATGCAAACGCATGTGTTGCATTTCTCCGGAAAGAAATAATGGGACGGATCATGTTGTTCTCCACGGGTTCTGTGTTGGCACCCAGTACTGCGTCGCATCTCTGGGAGCAAGGGGCCCCCACTGGGCCTCTACCCAAGACAAAGTGGCTTAATCTCAAATTGGGGTACCCCGCTAAACGGCCTTTGACATCACCCCGAAAAGGGTACCTTCAAGCACAGACGCCCAACTCAGCTAGAGTTGCTCTGCTGTGAATGCCCCACACCTTTGCAACCCAGAATCTTGGCGGGCAGAAGAGGCCGTCTTGAAGACATATCCTTCTTCTGTCAGCTGCCAGGTCGTCATGTCGCACTTGAAATCCCGACTTGCCCAAAGCCAACCTTTTATTGGTTTCCGTAATGTGGCCCATTGTCGAGGTTCCACAAGGTGAACCTTTATTTTTCAGGCTCTTAGCCAATGTTTCCTCAACGCTGCAAAAGACATCGCTCAAGGAAGCCATGGCAATGTGACTTGAGCCTACCTGGTCTGCGCCAAGTTGAGTGTATTGGGCAAATTATAGCGACATCACTAGGGGTGCGTCTGTGATGAAGGTTCCGTTGGCCAGGTGACAGGCTGTGTTGGGACGCCACCATGAAATCGGAATCTGTTTTTTTCTTTTTCCCCTGAAGCCATCAATGATTTGTGTGGCCGGGTTCAACCAGTTCGTAGACGGAAAGGGAAACAGTCGGGGCCCTTCGGAGCTTTCGGGTCATACCGCAAGTTCCGTTCCCGGATAAACCCGTTGCCAGGGTTCCCAGTCCGGCAACCAATGAGAGCCTTGCCACAGATTCTTTCTCAATGTCCTTCTTGCGGTGAACCTGCTTGACCCGAGTCTCAGTCTCAGTTGTCCGTCATATGGGTGAGTTGTTAGTTTTGTTTGATTGTTGTGTGTTTTTAAATCAGGGAACCTCCCTCGGCGAACTTTAACAGGCCTTCAGTATCACAGTGGTCATTTCCCTTGAAAACTATCTGAATTTGGCTGTGGCAGCAGAAAGAAAAGCCTGTGGGCTTCTGAATCGCCCTGTGTTCTAAATTTCGGGTGCCCAGTAATTCGTGGTTTGGATCGGTGTTTTGGGATTTGAACCCCTGCTTCCTGCAGAGGGTAAATGGGCAACCACGCCGAACAACTAAACCGCCAATCCCAGCCACCGACTAGAGGGAAGCAGACAATTGATATAACCCAACCTGATTGCAAGCCGGTCCGAATCTGCGTCAGGGGCTTCAGCTTCGTCGCACGCTGAGAGATTTCGCGCTTCAAGATGAGATCTGCGCATCCGAGCTTCAAGCTGTCAGCCGCGCGCATGAGAAGTTCCAAATGAGATGCTCATTTTGGGACACATGGACCACTTTGAGGGTTGTTCATTTGTGCATATTCATCGGGATTGATCATTTCAGGTTCATTGAATGGCAAGCAATGGTCATTTCTGCTGCACCCGACCCGGAGCCCCGTGGCTTGCCAGAAAGGGATATACAAACGAGATGCTTCTTAGCACCCTAAAGCCGGACCTCATCATCGCAACTTGGCCCCAAAGCCAAATCTGTTTGCGGGTCTCTGTAAAGGACACATGTTTTTGGGCCATTTCTCTTGACCACATGTCTCAGGCAAACGTATCACCATGTCAGAAAGCTGGAGTGCCTGTGCATGTGTGTGCGTTGGTTACAGCATCAGTAAGTCCAGCTGGATCTGTGATAGTTAATCAGAGATAGGCTATGCACGGTTGAACCCGCCGGAAGTTTGCGCAGGTCAAATCTGCGGCTGCCTTGGCGTGATAGTTGCTAAAACGAGCCTGGTCACAATCCAGAACTGTGTCAAAATCGGGGGACCTTCAACATTGTGGTTGCCCTTCTGGTTTCCTCTTGAAACCTGTAAGGGTGCCCTCCAAACAACACCACCCCACAATAGATATGTTTCACCAACCTTGTGAAACAGCATTTGACGAGCGCTTGTCTGGGTGATCACTCAGGGAGGAACTGGTTTTCGTCCCAACATGGAGTCCGCGAGAAAAATCAAGAACAATTGGTCTAAGTATGTTGTTTTTCCTCAGCTCATTGGACTTAGGGAAGCGGAATTGCGACCAGACCTCGGTTCACTTCGTAGGCATTTTGCATGACTGCCAGCCTGGAGCTTAGACACCCCCCCAGATTGCAAGCGTCCCAGTTTTCATTGTGTCTCTGAGATTTCATGTCCTATGGGTTTGTCTTTTTTGGGGTTACTCCGTGTTTGGTGGCTTTAAAGCAAACCCAAAAGTAAAACCACCATTTGGGGGTCCCCCAAAAACAAGAGAAACCATATTGGAAACCAACAGCTCACTCATTTCTTTGGGTTTTTGACCTTCCATTTGCTCAGACCGTGTTTGCCATATCCATAATGAGTCGATTGCCAGCATTCACAGTGCAGTCTCCTAAGTCCTGGCTGGCTTAATGAAGACTGCACGCCCTGTCAGCCTAGGGTTTAGAATAGATCATCGAAGCAGGCTTGGAGTAGGAGATGTGTAATGCCACCGTGCATATTGATATGTTCTCTTTGCGCACCCTCGCCAACATGTCAAAACACCAGTGAATGTCGTAGATGAGAGGGCTTGCCCCCTATCATTTATTTCCTACTGCACTGCATTGCATTATTATGCACAACAAGTTCACCTCGGATGGAAGCTAAAGCAAGCTTAATTACCCATGTCGTTTCCTTTGGGGCTCCCCAGTTCCTCTACTGAAAGACGATTCTAGGGTACCTTCCCCATTCTTTCCAGGGATCCTTCTTTCTGCAAAACCTCCGGGAACCCAGAGAGAACGGCCGTTTTTGGAAAGAATGATGGTTGAACAGAAATGTTGGAATCAACCCCTAGAACTATTGGAAGTTCTTTGGCTGAAGGGCTTTGCGGTTTCTTTTGGCAGCGCGAAAGAGGCGTCTGCTCACCAAAAAGACATGTGCCGCGACGGTGGGCCTAGTCTTTTCACAGGAACCTGAGCATGCTTTAGTGCGAGTGCCTGGCCGGTAGGACGAGGGGACGAAGCGCCACCAAATTGTTGACCCCTCATGTTTGATCCCGGCGGTTGTGATGTTAGTTCGCGTTCTTTTGGGGGAACTCTCTGCTTGAGAACTGGTGGCCACTGGGTGCCAAACAGCCCATCATTTTTTAGTTGCAGATTGCTGGACAACAAAAGGTGGCCTGGAGTTGCTTTGTTCCAGGCCCGGCAAAAAACCAAATCCCCGAACATCACTCCAAGCCCCGCGCAACTCTCGTGCAACGTGCGCGCCGCGCAGATGCGACCTCGGGGATCCTCCTCCAAGCTGGATCCAGGGCGTCAGGAATTGATCGACGAGTGCCATGGCCGTCTCGCTGGACCATGATGGAGCGCTGAGAGCCCTTTGGAGCTTAGGTGAAGCTTGGGGGGGCTCATCAAAGCACTCCAACAACGTGGAAGCCCAAGAGGGATTTCTCTAAAGACCATGTTTCTTTCTTTTTTTGTGCGGGAGTGTCTCGTGCGGGTCTTGTTTCAGGAGCCAACAGGATGATGATATGCTCGTAGAAGTTGTTTTTCAGCCATGCTTGGTGAGCCTTCCGCTGATTGACCTGATGAAAGTACCCCGTTCAGCGTTTCAAGATTTGTCCAGCCTGGCATGGACCTCGACTTGAGAGTCGCTTGATTGATTGCCTTCCAACCGGAGCACGCTCTTCCTGCCCTTGGCTAAACCCAAACTCTGCCAGGACAAGAAGGAATGGCCTTTTGTGTAATTATCAAGAGTTATATCCGTGATAGACAAGGGATCAGTTGTGTGCTGGTGTGTTTTGGAATCCACATATTTTTGAGCATGCATGCCTTTGAGTCTTCTTTGAGAAACATCAAGTTTATGCATGCGGGGGTTGAAGTAAATCGAGTTTCGCATGTCCGGGGGCCGGGGGGTGACCCAGCCTATGTGCCCTGTTGAAAGTTTCGTCCACACCTGCGCTGGGTGACGAGTTTGACGCCCGCAATGGTTGTCAGGTACTTTGCTCCGGGCAAGGTGCGGTTTCTCAGAAGAGTTGGCGCTGATTCCATCTATTCGGAGGATCAATGAGGCCGTGACCCCCTGATTGAACACGCGGTGTCATATTTGGGAAAAAAGTCCTTTCTGATTTAGGGAACCACCTACTTAACTGGCAAGATGACTGATCCGGGGTCAACACTGGCAATGATCCCAGCTCGAGTTCTGCTCACATGGGTTCGGGGTAAATCATCACTCGCCACCTTCAATTGACGAGTTTAAGCAATGGCCGTCCACGGCAAGGACATGTTTTCTGAAGAACCCAGCCCCAGATGGTTGTTGGCTTGCTTGTACCATTTGAACATGGCTCCAAAAAGGGGCCAGCCTTCTCCTTGGACTTGGAAGCCCTTCCCTGGATGCCTTACGCGAATTTGGCATCTCCGAGGACCACGGCCTTCAAGAGGCCAGCTTGTTGTACAGTTCCTGGCCCCCCAAAATGACCACGGGTATGGTTTCCCATTTGGAACGTTGCCAGTTGGTTTTAGTTTGGTTGATCAACCCCATGTCTGTTCCATGAGCTAAAGGACATTTGTGTAGACCAAGAGGCCCTCACTGCTAAATAGGGGCGGACATTTACCATCATGTACTGGGCAATTTGGAGTTGTGACTCGAGAGATTGCTCGCGCCTTAGCCGGTTGGCCAATTGTGGTCAAGCAGGGTGGGCTGTTCGGTACGTGGCCTTGACAAGGCTCCAAGGTCTGCGAGATCGCACCCAGATGAATGAACCTGTCCAGAGCCCGTCCATCAACCTCTCCAATTTCAGGGCAACTGCCTGGGAAGGGGGCTACATCTGGAAAGAGTCTTGAAAGCAGTTCAATGGCCCTGGATGGGTTTCTCTTTGGATTGAGGCTACATCTTGAAAGCAGTGCAATGGCTCTAGATGAGTTACTTCCCCCAAGAAAATCCAACCCCTGCTACCTACGGGCTGTACGAGTCGCGCCCGTCGGTCGGTCGGATCCAAGCTGCCAGTTGGTCGTCGAGCTGCCGCTCGACGGTGGCGGAAGCTTGCAGGCCATTGGATCGACGGATCCGCATATTCGATGGCCAGACGGTTTGCGGGGCTGGTTGGCTTGGCATGGGCGTGGCTCATACTTTCAGGCTAACCAATTTTTGCCAGGCAAGGTTGGGGATTCGAGTCCCCCCAACGCTCAGTGCCTGCTTTCCTGGGAGTGGCGCCCTTTTTCATTTTTTTGGGGAAGGGTTCCCCTGTAAACTCAACCGAACAAACAAGGGTGCCCATTTTTCTGGGCATCTGAGTCTCTATACTACCCTCCTGTTCACATACAGACCGGAGGCTTTTTTGCATAGGGAAATGGTTTAGCAGGCCCAGGCAGGTTCCATGTTGGTGGATGGGAGGGTAGGTGTCTCATTCTGCTGGCCGCTGTTTTCAGGGGTCCGACCATATGTCCATTAGAAGGACACCACTTTGGGGTGCCAATCAGAAATGACATGCTCTGTGGAGTGAGGTTTAAGTGTGGCGTATATGCATATATGGCAGCCGTGTATCTTATCCGTCTTGTTTCAACTGCATCGTTGACATTTGGTTTGGGGCCACGCTCTTTACCAAAATCGCTAAAGTGAGAGAGTGGGGAATGGCCCGCACACTATAGCCAAATGGGTGTGTCTTCTAGGATTCGGACCCCAAAATATCGGTGTTCCTCTTGGTTGCAAGCGGCATGGGGAGTCCAGTGTGGCTTTAGGATGTAGTGTGATCCTGGGCGGCTCTGCATGCTTCTGGAGAGAGACCATTTACAGTCACGGCTAGAGAACAAGCGCTTCGGTCTGCGGTTGCGGCTCATGCGTAGTCTTGCTTGTCAAAGTGCAGCTGTGGCTTGCCTCTGGTAGCAGCTTCTGTTGGAAGATGATTTACGTAGCGACAAAGGCCTTGCAGGACTAGGTCAGGACTTGAGCCAGAGAAGTCCAACTGGGTGTCATGATGGTGTTGTTGTTCATTTACACAAGGCCTCAAACACAAGCGCTTAAGTCAACCTAAGATTTGTGGCATCCGTTGCTACGCCTGGTAGGGGTGAGGATCATGCTTGCTAGTTGATGTAGCCTTCTTGTCGGGGTTATCATGACTGGTGTGTGTGTGTGATGGTTTGGACTGCCTTAGCTAGCATCAACCTGTCTCTGGATTGTGCACAAGTGCAAGTAGCGGGTTTCCTTGTTACAAGTGTTACAAGCTGGCATCTGCGTCATCAATTATGCTAAACCCAAGAACTGGAGCAGTCTCAACACAGCGCGGTGCAGGATTTGTACGCGACCCACTCAGCGCTGATGAAATCGGTGTATTTGCATCAGGAATCACAATCAGTCAGTCCCACAAATCCAGATAATCAGCTCTTGCCCCTTGTTCTTCTTCTTATTATCATTCTTCTTGTTTTGCCGATGATTGTTTTGCTGCTCCCCGTTTTCTACTTCAGCTGAAGCTTCTGCAGTGCAGTCAGCTTCAACCTGAGTTCCCTGGAAAGTTTTGCAAGAAGCTGAAGCCGCGGACCAGTTGAATAAACGCCGTGGACTTATTGAAGAGCATGGTTACATTCATTATCACCTACAATGATTGCATATATATATATATATATATATATATCAGATACATTTGATAAAATAGCATTTGCATATGGTATTACATATAACTGTTTGTTCCCTGGGTTGCTCGAACTGAGTCCCAAGGAGAGGAGCCAGGGAAACTGACCTTTTGGACTGGGAACTAGCGAGCAGGAGTGGCAGTACCCGGTCAGTTCAGCTTTTTCAGCTAACTCATAAATTGGGTGGTTTGGATTGGTGGTTTGGGGATTTGAAGCCCTGGCCTTTGTAGAGGGTAAATGAGAAACCCCAAACCATTTCACCACGAAACCACCAATCCAAACCACCCTTTTCGATGGAAGGTGAGGTTTGACAACAACGCCGTCTGCATTGCACCCGCTGAGCCCAGGCAAACCATTTTTTTTAATTTTTGGGGGTTTCGGGTCTTTAGGGCACTGTGGCGAAGCGGGGCGCCAGGTCACATCCCACAAATCTTCTGAGAGCAACGCGCCGCCTTGGTGCCCGCCTGCTTGCTTTCAGGAGCTTTTCAGTCTGAGTGAAAGCGGTTGAATGGTGCCACCTTCACCGAAGCCGGCTTTGATGGGAACAAGACAGCGCAGCTTTTTGCGAAGGGAGATTTGCGGGGCTCTCTAAGTCCGGGGGGGAGTAGGTATTGCAGTTGTCAGAATAGCCCAAGTTGGCCCAAGAGGGGTGGTTGTCCTCTTGATGCTTCTTTAAGCCAAAGGAGCTTCAGCCTCTCAACCACTGCCAAATCATGGGGTGTGACCACCGCCTTGAGTACCTCATCGCTTCAAGGAGTTCATGCTCCCCGAAACGTACTTTTGCTTTGCGCAGCCTTTGTTGCGAAAGCGGGAAAGTATGACATTCGAGTCGAGTATCCGGTAGTCTATGGCCAGGAGAGGGAGATGTGGAACTCGTTGGAGTTACCACAAACACCAAAGCAACACTCATTTGCCTATTTTCTTATGGGTAACAGATGTGATTGAATGTTGGCCACCATGCATATTCAACGTCTGATTCCAAAAGGAAAGCAGGAAAGCGACACCCTCAGCGGCTCCAAGCAGTTGCCAGTTGGATGTCAAACTTGCCTCTATTGACTTTTGTGAGGACCAGTGTTCTTTGGAGAGCATGACAGTCCACAAGACACATGATACCAAAAAACAAACAACGGCGGAACGAAGCGGACAGGTCTCCCCCGAAGTTTATTCGAGCCAGATCTACCAGTAAACCAGTATTCATGTTGTTTAGGCTTGCTTGGGGCTCGAGCCAAATCGGTGGTCTAAGCAAAGGACTTGTGGTTTTGTCTAAAACCCAATCTGTTCTTTGTTGCAATTTGCTTGGATGTTAGGACTTTGACTGTTTGCCAACTAGTGGGTTTTCCATTAAACCACTAAAAGTTAAACTTTCAGAAGGGGAGCAGAAAGCAACCGAGTGTTTGTTGGCGATTTCATCGCCGGATTTTTCGGGCGGTTTCTCGGCTTGGTTGCATGTGTTTTTTTCGTTTGGCAGGAGTGGCGATGCCTGCGATTCCTCCAGAGCCGCTTGGCAGCATACCTCCTAGGGCCCCCAGCTAGGTGCCCTTTCTCACACCCTTTTTGGTTGGGAGGGTTCCCCTACTAAAATAGACTACAGAAAACAACAGGGAAACAAAAGGGCACCCTGATTCTAACATCTCTACTGGAGGGCCTGGCCTTGAGGCCCCTGGAAGTTCTTCCAAGGTCAAGCAGAAAATCTGCCAAGGACTGCACGTGAGTTTCATATGTCGAGGATCGGCCAAGGAAGGCTTTTTAGGGGATCCCCTAGCAAGAATCGGATTTGGACGGAAGCCCAGCGTCTGCGTCTCGGAAGCCCAGCGTCTCCAAGGGTTACTGTTGGGAGCGAATGGAAGGCCCAAAGTCGGTGTCAGCTGATTGGTTCGCCATTGGAAGCAGAGAAAAAGGCAAAGTGGAGTAACCGCCTTTGGTTGGGTCCGATTCCTAACGAAGGGAGCCACACCCAAATATGTGAATTGACCATGGGCATGGGCCAAAACAAGGCTTTCCTGATTGTTCATCTCAAGAGGAAAATCAATGATACTTCCCTTTGGAGGAGTTGAGTCAGTTTTTTGAAGCATTCCAAACTGGAAGTGGGCAAGCTAGCTTGATGAAACAGTCGAAGTACGTGTGTAGATATGGATACACACAACACGTGTGTATTGTGATACCTGGGGTAATAACACGTGTGTGGTCACTGCGGAATGAGCTACCTGAAGTCGTGACGCATTGAGACGATTTGTTTCTTGGGTCACGTCGGGAGCCGTGAGCTTGAAGCCGCGAGGCGGAGGCCTGATTCAAAGTGTCACCAAGGCGCGTCGAATGGAACGCAGTGGCAAGGGATCTCAGGAACGGCATGGGCACGCACGAATGAAATTGGAATGTCCTCAATTTGGCACCGCGAAAGAAAGGGGGGGGGGGGGGCGAATGGTTTCATTGTGTCGAGATCACTTCCTACACTGGGATGTCACGGGAGCCAACTTTCCCCATGTCCTAATCAGCCCACGGGTAGATGCCTTGAACGATTGTCGATGGATGACGATGGCTTGTTTGTCTACTCACAGCTTTGGTGGTTCCGTCATCCGATTGTATTGAGTAGATACTTGTACCTGGCAACAACCAAACAAATGCACTACATGGCCAAACCGGCACGTCCCAACCAGAAATAGGTGCAGCCATGGTAACTTTATATACATGAATTGGGTTCACCATTGTGGTACCAGGTATTGATGATGACTCAACTTCGACTCTGGGTTGTTCAAACTTATGCCGGATAGCAGTGGTTGCGTTTGTGGATTCACCGTTTTGGCATCAGGTTGCATGGATGTCCAAAATTCCTGGGGCGCGTGGGTCTCTGTCTCCTTAACTGCCCAACCGAGCGCCAGGTGGTGGTGTATCCAGATCCCGAACAACCCGCCGTGATGCAAGGTGAGCAGGTCGTACGACGATGTCTTTTTTGGGGCCCTGTGTTGGTTGGTTTGAAAGGAACCCCAAGAGGGAAAACCGCCAGTTTTGGAGGGTCCCCCAAAAAAAAACGCCCATGAGAGTTACCAGGAGAGGCCAAAGTGAGCCCTTTGGGCGGCTCGCATCGCTTTGATTCTCTGCCGGAAATCTGAACCCAAAGGGGGCTATCTTTTCGTTAGCCACCTTTGCTTGTCAAGCCTCCTTCCTCAAAAAGCAGCGTGGAACCCCGAGGCAGATTCCTAAAAACTCGTGTGCACTTGGTGGTTTTGGAGCTCACAAACGGTTTGAGAGTTGTTTCGGACAATTGGTTATGCTGGTGTGAGGGGACTTAAGACAAATGCAAGCCTGCTGGATAGATCTAAGCGTCGAGTCACACGTCCCGTTTGCGTTGCTTGAGGACTGAGTCCTCAGTCAGGGTTTGGGTGCCGCTTGTTTTCGTTCGCTCATGTCCCGCTCAGTTCCACTCATTTCCCGCCAATGTTCGCTCATGTTCCGGAAGAAAAGCTGGCCAATTCAAGGTTTCTGCTCATGTCTTTTGCGCTCCAAAATTTGAAACGAGCAAACAAACGCCCAGAGCCCCCTAAAAAGTGGCTGGCCAAGTGTGGAGCCATGACCATTCCCCTATTAAAGCATTCCCAGAAGCCACAACCAGTGTTTGCTCGACCAATGCACTAGAAGTTCATACCAGGGTTTTATACATGGGAGTTTCTTTTAATCTGCCGGTGGAAACCACAAGGAACCGAATGGCACCGGTTTTAGGTGGCACCGATTCCCATGTTGAGAAACACCCACCATGGGGTTCTTTGTCGGCCAGGTGCGGTATTGCCCCTGGCGTACACCAAGGCGGACGGGAAAACATGGGAAACGCTGAGTGAGGCTTGTACAAAGCCGCGGCTTTTTTTGGGAATCTGACCCCCCCCCCCCCACCCAGAAAGAAGAAGAAGAAGAAGAAGAAGAAGAAGAAGTGTGTGTGTGTGTGTGTGTTGCTTTTGATTTCCTTTAAAAAGGAGGTTCCTGAGGAAAAAATACTGTGGTTGGCTCGTCTTTTCTTTTTAGGCTCGGCGACTTCTTTTGGAAAACCAGAAGGATGCAACCCGCAAAGGTGCCTTTCCAGATTGATGTTCTCATTTAATTTGGCAGTGCTAGCATGCTTGCCTTCGTAGCCTCATGCTTGCCGCATGCTTTGATCAGGGCTCCTTTCTGATTCAATCAATCCCGGCTTCCCACGCTGCACAGATATGGCTGTGGCTCAAAGAACCGGTACCAAAATGGAACCCTGGTAAGTGGAAACATGGACCAAAACCTGCGTAACCCCTCCTGTTTAATTTTGAGCCACACCCATATGACTGAATTGGACGGATTGGGCATGCAGGGTTCTCTGCTCACAGACTGGCTACGTAGCCAAGATTTCGTGCTAACCACAACACATGAAGCTCTCACAATGGGTCAGTTGTTCGGAATGCTCACTGGGGCCAGATGAATCAGGACCTACTAATCCTAGGATTCCTGACCAAAGATTGGGTGCAGTTCAGGTCATTAGCAAGCATTGGTAGCAGCGCAGTAGAACGTTTCAAGGTCACCCCACTTTTGCGGGAGCGGTATTGTTCAAATGCACAAGTTTAAGACCACTATGGTTTCTTGGTGGCTCCCCGCCATCCCCTCAGCTTTTCAGCCTTTTAGTGTTTAGTGGTAGTTTCCATCTAAACCACTAAAAAGTTAAACTTTTAGCGGGGGATCTGAGGGCACCCCAGGTTTGATAACATCAAGGCCACTTGGGGCCATAGGAACTAGTCTTTGATCACCTCCTGGCTGCAAGTGTTGATGTGGCGATGGGCATCGGGGTACCCGAAAAAAGAGTGATACAAGCAAAACCACTGAAAAGGATGGCCGCCGCAACTAGAAAAGAATGGAAATGGAGTTGAAACCACATCTTCCGTAATTATTACTCAAATTCCTTGCCGGAAACCATCAATGAGTTTGTCACTTAGAGGCAGAGAGCGCTTTTGCATGACCATAGTGGGGGAAGCCCAAGCTGCTTCCAGGTCACCAGCTGCTGCTTGTGTTCATGTCAATTTAGACACGACCGAGACTTTTGGGAAGAAACGACGGACGCCGACGACAAGGCCCCCTCGATCTTGCTGGTCCTCAGCAAAAACCAGAAGGAATGACCATCCAAGACCACCATCCAACTGGTGGTGTCCTTCAAGACGACGACCAGGTTTCCATTTCTCATTCCCTACTCCTCGCAGCGAGAAAGTCGGGAATGAGAAATGGAATGACCCCTACAAACCATCCAACTGGTGGTTTCCTGGCAGGAAAGTCCCCCATTCCTCATTTCGTTTGGACGATGGCACTTTCGCCATTTCACGCGCGACGCCAGTCCTTTGCCACGGTGGTCCTGGCCGCATTATCCGCGGCCGGCGCGCCGGTGCTGAGAAAGGACGCGGATGCAAGAGCCTTTTTTTTTCCGCAGCATGGGTATGGGGTACACTTCCATTTGGTTAAGAATATGTTTCCTTATTTTCCTCTGTTGGTTTTAAAGGGAATCTATCACTACTGGAAATATTTTAGTTCTTCCGGGGGGCTTGAGCAAATGGAGGTACATGGATATGTGCGTTCTTTATGGGTAGCGTACAAAATTGGGAGTGTTTTCAGCAGCTATACGCCTGAACTCCACGGAACCCTGGAGGCTCTGCTGCAGTGCAGCGTAGTTCATGTGCATGGCGATGGTTTCTCAAATTGAGCCACAATCAAAACCTGGGGCGCCTTCCTAGTTCTTCACATGGTTCTGGGTAGACCATTTTAATACCGGGTTTTGATTATGATTCAATTGCCCAGTTGCTGCTGTTTTGTCTTTCTTCTTCTCCAAGCCATTCTATTGTACCAACACTGTACTGGCACCTGTTTTGCCCTTGAGCATCATATCCGAGAAAATGCCTGATGCTCAACCCGCCACCAGTTACCACTGGTGGGCATTGTGCGCAGCCTTTCTCCCTTTTTTATAGGATAGAGATCTTGGCTGGGTGAACTTCCAAAAGGCAAGGGCTTCGTGCTGTTCATGCTCTCATTTTCAGCCAGCGGCGCCAACTCCTTTTGTCTCCCATGCCCAATGGTTTTGTGATGTTTTGTGTCAAAACAGATTGGCTTGGCTCCCAAGCTGGCGGTTTTTCCTTGCGGCTTCCCTTCCAATCAGGCTGCAAAGGGCGCCTCTCGATTTCACCCCGGGACTTGCCTCGGGGCTCGCCTCCGAAGCTCATTTAGAAGACCCCAGATGTGGGCCAAGAATCCGAGGCTTCACTACAACAGTGGTACATGCTATACAACCCTTTCTGCCAAGGGGATCGCCACCATGCATGCATCATGATTTGCCCATCCGTGTTGGGGGCCAACGTTTGGTAGCATGTTGCATCGTTGGCCTGGTTTTCAACAATTATGCTAGAAAAGATGCCTTGATGTTCAGACTTCTCAGTGGGTCATCATCACTGTTTGTTATGCATTAGCCAACCCTCGCCATCCCACCAAAGCCATGCACTGCTTGGTGACAACCCATCTGCGAAGTAGGTTGAGCATATCACAGAAGCCAGAGGAAGTTCTATTTGTAGCTTAACTTGCTGTCGGTTTCTAGTGGTGCGACTGGTTACCCACAAACAAGGGGGACGCTCAAAAAGGAGCACCCCTTATTGTAGCTATTTCGCCTCTTGCCAAGTGGAGAAAGCGGAGATTAGACCTGTGGAAAGATCGGTCCCATGGCATATTGGATAGTTCTGTCGAGTGCTGTCTTTCCCTGTAGGTTTGAACACGAGCACCGATTGTTTGAGTCTAGCATACCCTTCATTCAACGGGTCACATAGGGAGGTCAGCGATTATATGCACTACACCAAGAATTTTCGGCCTGTCACTCCATTCAAACCCTGATTATATCAAGGGTTCTTGAAAAAGTGGCTTCTAAAGTGGCAAGCAACTTTTTGTTAGTCTTCCTTCACACGGCAAGGGGCCGAGTCCAACTTTGTTTGACACCCTCAATCAGATCCATCGGGCTGGAGGACCGGCTGCGGATCTTGTGCATCGGCCTGGGCGGCGGATCGGTCCCGCAGGGAGTCCCAAAGCCGGGCGTCCGCGGCACCGCGTCCGCGGCCTTGTTTTGAGGCTTGGGCATGTCCAAAGAACGAGGCGGGGTACCATGGCACCCCTCCCACCATGGATGGGTGCACAAACCCCCTGAGGAAAGTCGCCTTTCCAGAGGGGTTTGTGCACCAAACCGTGCTAGACGGTGGGAGGGTACCAAAAAGGGGATGTTGCAAACCGGGTGGTTGTGGTTGCGTCTTTTGGATATTCCAAAAGATCGGCGGACGATCTGACGGGCAAATCAGCTGGGCGACTTCAGACGTGCCCCCCTCTCAAAGGGGCCAAACGAAGTTCCGAATTTGGACGAATCTCCCAAATGGGCAATGACACTCGAAAGAAAAAACAGAAGAAACCCGAATTGAGATATGTGTTCGAAGAAGAACTTGGTTTAAATGTGTTTGACTGGTGTCCCTCGATTTTGCCGATGCGGTCAAAGGTTTGATTTCTCACCTGTGGACCTTTGAGCAAATGACGAATTTGCCCTGCAGGTACCTACGGCTACAGTCAAATCTATGCCGGTGCAGCTTAAGAATGAATGACCTTTGTGATCATCTTATCCCACAGTGTGCGCTTTAGCTTTGAAGATGTACGCATCTATCATCTATGTTATGTTTCTTTTGTTTTCTATAATGCACATGTGGGTTGGTCCTCGCAGAATGGTAGACGGTTTCAGAGGATTGCAGGCCAGTTTTGAGCAATGGCCTTCATGCCTTACTGAGCCTTGCGGCATACTTGACAGAGCCCAAAATTAAACCTCCAATCAGATCAGACTGGCACAAGTCTTTGGGCCCAAAGACTTCAGCGCATTTGGGCTCGTTCCGTTCAGCGAGCGAGAGACGGGCGCTTGGTTTTATCCGGCTGGGCCGAAAAGCAGCGGGCTGGGTCAAGCAAGCAGCAGACAGCTTCGCTTGTTAAGAGCCACTCTTAAGGGCTATTGGCCCAAATAGAGCTATTCATCCCTACGCCATTTGAGGGAGGTTCAAAGTCATGTCGACGGATTCTGCCAAACCTGTGGGAGTATTCTGGGTAGCGTTCATCCCTGGAAGTGTGAAAGTGAAAGTTGCTCCCTAGAATGGAACCCCCCTCCTATTCTTCACCCAGCGGATTATGAGTCATTTGGGCAAACCCGTGTTGGTCACGTTTTGAGATCGGTTCGAGTCAAGTGGTTGAGTAGGTCATTTGGCATCTCTTTCGAAATCAATTAGACACAGGTTTTCCAAATACGAGCCGGGATCAACATAGGGACCATCAAAATATGTTCTTTGGTTGGGGGCGGGCCCAATGTTTGGGAGTGTTGTTTCGCCAAGAGTGGCGTACCCTCCCTAGTCAGGTAGCCACTAAAAAAAAGTGGCTTGCATTGGTGGGAACTGCTTGGGCAGCCCCCAGTTCCTAAGCCAAGTGACCGGCACCCAAGGTCGAAACGAAGCCAGGCTCCACCCGTACACTGAGGACCTTCTACGCAGAATCGTTGCCTCACTGCCACGTGGATGTTGTGGAGCTGGAGCCTGCAGTCAGGAGCCCAAGCTTTGATGACCGGAGCTGGGGCTTTGCTGGTTAGATACAGAACCAACCCAGGCTCTGCCTGGACATGTGGTGATTCATAGTAACTTGATGAATCGTGTGGCTCTGCCGACGATGCATCATTCAAGTTTCTGACCTATCAGCTTCCGACGGTAGGGTATTGGCCTACCGTGGCAATGACGGGTAACGGTTCTGTGCGAAGTTGCCCCCTGAAGAGCCAAAAAAAGCAATCGCACGCAGACGCCCAAACAGAACCCTGGAATTTGGTTCGAGTTCAAGCTGCAAGATCCTTGTGCCAAGTGTTAGTGTCTTCCCTTGTTTGCCACCACCCAGACGGATTAGGAGAAAAATGGCCCTCCATCTTGAACAATGTGCACAAGAGGGCTTTTATAGTTCTCCCATTTCCTCCGATGTAAACGATGCAAGCTTCGTTGGAAGGTCAAACGGAGGGGAAGTGCGGAGCCATGTGTCGAATGTCAACCAACTGGTCTGGTGTGCTTCGGACCACATTTGGTGGCCTAAGTGGGTACTCAAGTGGATGACTCTGGAGGCACGCACGGAGATGGCTGAATGTATGCAACCTATGAACTCTGGCTAAATTACGTATGACGTCATAAAGGTAGGCCAACCAGAGAACCCAACCAAGACCCTGTATGCACTTGGAGCCTTTAAACAGCACCTGACATGCGCATTTCGGCTAAGAATATGCCAACCGAATGTTTTTCACTGCAACCGGCACAAAGTCCTGCGGTACCTCAGTTAGGCTTGACTCACGGCATGCGGGAGGATCGCGCCTTGTGTTTGTGGGAGCACGACCTCTCAGGTACCTCTCAGCTGGTTTAGATTGGTAATCATGGGTGTCCTTCCTGGTTGTTTTGCTCGAAAAATCGACGGCCCTGGTTAACCTGGTGGTTCAATCTACCAGGGAAACCCATCTATTTCCCCTAAAAGGGCAGCTATGTTGGTAATTTGGATCTGAAGCCCTGGGGAAATGGGCGGTGTTTTTTTTCACCTGAGCCCAGTCGGACGTGGATTTCTCGAGGGTTGAGGGTTGAGTGCATGATAGAAGATAATGGGCAAACAGCAGCAGAGACAGAAGGCGCCACAACTAAGAGCAAGACAATGATAATGATGTCCAAAGACTACCACCGTTCTGCAATCGTGACTACTCACACTATCAAGAGTCGTTGCTTCAAACTGTAAGCATATGCGAAACCGAAAGATCCACTTGCTGCAACAAGTTGCACAAGAAACGACCCTACACAAGACACAAAAGCAGCAGACCTCGCAAGAGATCAACAGCACTACCATTTCCATCAGTTTATGCCAAGGAGCAGCAGCTACAGCAGCATGACAGAACCGCTACAACGCAAATGGAAACACGTGGCGCCTATTGCGCGCCCATTTCGAGGTCATCCATGCCGCGAAGAAGGCGGGGACCTCGGATGAGGTGTTGTGTGCGAAGAAGCTGTAGCAGAAGCTGTAGGTACTTGTTGCTGGTGGTTGCTGGTGGTGGTGGTGGACGTTGGTGGATGTTGGATGTTGGTGGATGTTGGTGTTTCTTTGTGCAGAGACTCTCGGCTCTCCGGGCGGGAGAGCGCAGGGAGTTGATCCGCGGCTTTGTTCCCCAAAAGATCACGGGACAAGGACACGGCAATCAGCTTCCTGGTTCTTTTTGTTGCGTCTCGGGTGCAAGGTGGACGTTGCCTATAGCGAATGAATTTGGCGGGTAGTTTTGGGGATCTTGAAAGCACCCAGTCGCAGAGATCCCCAGAGAATCAACAGCTGCGGAGAGTACCCGGCATCGTTCCAATCGGAACAGCCCTGTAGCCAGAAGTTTTTGGGTCATCAGTTTGCTGGTCGGGGTTATCAAAGTCTGAACTGGGGTTTGCTTGTCCTTTAACCTACCACTTTAGGGGGGGTAACTTTGACCATGTTAAACATTGGGGCGTTATGGGCATGAGGGCCGCGAGCCGCAGCCAGCGGCAATTTCTGGACGGATGCCTTGAGAGAGTCTCCTTAAAACGAGTTAGCTTTCAGGTACTTCGAGAACCTCGGACAAGCCAAATTGATGCACCGTGTCCATCAATCTTTTGATGCTGCTGACGATGATGGTGGTGGCGATGCTAGCGGCTCTCCTCAGATTGAAAGCTGCCTCTGTTCTCCCAGCGCGCCGACCCGTTCACCACCCCACTGGAGAAAGTCGCTTCGCACAAAAAGGGGGCCTAAGCCAACCTGCCCCATTGAACCGACACCTCCGTTCCATCCATGTTATTCCAAACATTGCGGTGCCGATGCGGCCCTTGTAAATGTTTCCAAAAACTCGGGGGAGGAGGAGGAGGAGGAGGAGGCAAATTGGCCACCACCGCTTCCTTTGGTGTTCTTTTGATTTAATTTGTCCAAGAGACAGAAAGAGGCGAGTTCTAAGCACCATCTCAGGTTCTCAGGCACCTGGCTTCCCTCAAGCAACAAGAACTGCTGGTGGGCTGGTTGGCATGGCGCATGGCCTTTCTAGCCAGATCTGGGCACGGCCTTTCAGAGTTGCGCATAGCATGTTGGTTTTCCTCCTCGCCGGCCGCACTGCAGCCGCTGTGCGCACACCGCGGAGATGTGAGAGTGTTTCACTCCTCACGGAGTCTTTAGTGCATTTTGCTTGGAAACTATCCATCACACCATTCTAGGGGTTGATTCCCCATTCTTGTCAACCATCGTTCTTTTCAAAACCCAGCCGTTTTCCCTGGGATTCTTGCTTTGGTGCATGTTGCCAAGGGATGTTAGGACTTCAACTTTTTGCCAACGAATGGGTTTTCCATCAAACCACTAAAAGTTGAACTATTAGCAGGGAGCAGAAAGCAACCGAGGAATGGGGGGTCCCCAAAACGATAAAAGGTCCCCAGTTGGAGAACCGATGCCAGGGCATGGGGTTTGCGGAGCGGTCCAACCTCTGCGTGTACGAGGAGGTCGGCTCTGCGATTCTGGGCAGACGGGGTCGGAGCGGGGGGGGGGGGAGGCAAATAGGGGTTGCCCCTAAAAAGATTTCGTCCTTGTGGTGGATTGCGAATCCAATAACTCCTAGGTTTAAGTCAGTGTGGGCAAAGACAAGCATGGAATGCGACCCTGGAAGTGTCCTTTTCGTGAATTTGTGAGACTGGCAGGAAAAAAGAATGTCACGACATCCGCATTGACAGTTGGAAAATTGAAACCAGTGAAGACAGGAGAGGGAGGGCAGTGTTTGCAGGGCTGGGTTTTGAATAACTGAATTGACGGATCAGGTGTTGACGGAAGCGAGTCGCCTTTGTTTGAGAGCTGCGTGGTGGGGGTTGGTTGTTCCATGATCCAAAAGGGCAAAGCGGGTGTCGCCGAAATAAGGTCGTGGCAAAGGCGCAAACACAAGGACAGAGCCAATGGTAGAGAGTCACAAAGGTACAGGTACAGATTATAGAGAGAGAGAGAGAGAGCGAGATACATGCCAATAGTACTTTAATCTGGTGAGAAGGTCCATCTTCCTATATACAGCTGTTATGTCGTGCACATCTCTACCCAGCGGAGCTATGTTGTTTCGGATGTGTGTCAAACCCAGGTGTTCATTATTCGCAGCGTTCTACTCTACATTGATGCTACGTTGAGGACTTGATTGCATGAGGCGTTGGAGATGGTATTTGACGCTTGCGAACCCAAATCACTGCAGGCTATGCAGACGTCGCTTTTCTGCAGAGTCTGCATGGAACCCAAAGAGAGTCCCCTTGAAAAAGAAGCTTCCTCTATACTTCATGGTTGTTGGGAAACATCTTGCATTTTCGCTTATTGTGGCTTGGTGCTTGAAATCCCCACAGACAACTGCTAAAGCTTTTCAATTTGTGCTCCCCTTCCAGCGTCAACCAAGTAAACCTGGCGGGTGCGTTCCATGGTCCTCTGCAAGGGAGAGCTTGCCTGGGCCAGGATGGGGCCACCTTCGCCCAGCGCGTCCTCCGTGAGAAGGCGGCTGTCGGGAGAGAGATCTGTGCGGCTGGAAACATGGGCGAAATGCGGGTTTGCTGCCATGCCCGAGCCACAAGGGTGGAGCAAATGGGTATCGCCTGTCTCCGCCGCGAAAAAGCCTAGAACAATAGGCATCGTTCTTTTCAACAACCAGCCATTTTTTCCAGCCTCGTTTCAGGCGAAAGAGGCCTTCCCGGGCGGCGTCTACGACGCGGCAGCTCGGCAAATCGATGGGTGCGGTTTCCGGTCAGAGGAGCCTCCCACCAAAGATAAATCTTTGGTGCATTTTGCCAAGGGATGTTAGGACTTCAACTTTTTGCCAACGAATGGGTTTTCCATTAAACCACTAAAAGTTAAACTTTTAGCAGGGGAGCAGAAAGCACCCGAGGGAACCTGACGTTCGGGGGGTTCTGGTTTGGATGTCAATAGGTGGGAGGGGACCCCTTTTTCACCAATTAAATTTCGGGGGGAGGTCCTGGTTTGGAGCATCGCCCTTTTAAAGGGAAGGTCCCAAACATCAGGTTCCGGCTGTTAAGTACCCCTTTGGTGTGAGAGTGTTGCATGGTTGTTGTTGGGAAACATGTTTACATGTTTGCTTATTGTGGTTTAGTGGGAAATTCCCACTTAACTGCTAAAGTTTAATTTTTTGCCTCCCCTGTCAACGTCAATCAAGGTTGTGTAAGGCACTTCAAAGGGAGTCAAAGTGCGATGATTTTCCAGTGCATCATCATGCACGTCCAGTGAAATTCGACTGACATTCCAACGAAAATCCAGCGAAGTTCTAGTGAATGTCCTTTTTGCTCCCCACTCCAAACCATTTCCGGTGAATTTCAATCGTCAGTTTCGTCTTCGGGCCATCTTTGGTCTCCAATGACCAGCTTCCCTCTGAGGAATAAACCACATAACCTTCGTGGATTCGTGGTTTGGGATTTGAACCCCTGGCTTTGTAGAGAGTATACGGGAAACCCCTCGCTCCTTAACTAGCTACCCAACCACCGGGCTCCAAACCACCAATTAGAGGGGAGCTGATTATATGTCAGTTCGCTGAAAGAGAATCCCCAACAGACCACCTGAATCATATTCCAGAGGAGAGGGACCTTGTTGTTTCCATGTCTTAGCATGCAGCCAAAAAGCATCGAGGCTTTTCTCCAGGTCCACCAAGCATCGATGTGGCTCAAAGTTTAGCCATTGAAGGTTGACCTTTCTGGGCCAACAGTTAAAAACAGGTCAGATAGACAGGGAGAACTTGCTTAATTTCCATCCACAACGAGGAACGAGCCCTAAATTTCCCATGTCCTGTACGGAAAGAAGCAATGTTGGCCGCTTATGTGCCTTGCTAGACTCAGACCCTTTCACAAGAAACCTTCCATTGCCATCTGAGGTCCTGGTGGATGCTTACGACCCGGCAGGCAATGTGCCTGCAGCACTATGGAGCAGGCCAGGCGTCGGATGGTTTCCCGCCAAGTTCGTGCCACGTTGGTTTTTTTCCCTTGTTGCTTGCTTTGCTTCTTCCAGGGTTCCCTTGGTATCTTCCGTTGGTGGCTGAACCATCACCTTTTGGGCCAATTGACGTGTCTTTCCGATTGCTCTACTTCCCCTGCCACGTTTGGAGGTTGGTTTCGCTGGGTTGGACCAGGGTCTAGGTGAAAAATGACGCCGAACGGTGGCTCGCTCTACTTGTCACAAGTCCTCTGCCAGTTGCCACTTGTGTAGAGGCAACCAGGGAAGACATGGAGGTGCTATACTGCTAACTGGAGGTGCCGGCAAGCGATGTGTGCAAATTCGCAAAAACCTCATGATGGAACGTGACTGAAGTTCATTGATTGGGCATTGGGCACGTGTCAAGCAAACTTGACTCGGTCTCATGAAGGTGACTCATTGCGAGGTGCTTGCCCCTGTGCCCACGAGAGCTGAGCATCGGACACAAACTGGTCTCGAAGCGGGGAACCTTTTGCGGGACGCCAATTCCAGTAGAATGGTGCTAACATTTACTAGGTCCCCCAGTAGTGCCCTTTTACCCTTTTTTGGAGGAGGGTTCCCATACTAAAACAGACTACTGAAGAAAGAGTACCCTTATTCTACCCTGTCAGAGCCCTGTTCTGTAATTGCATGGGGTCATCACCCCTTAATTTCGGTACATGACCCCGAGATTGAAAAGGTTGTGGGGACTCCAGGTCGCTGGCTTGCTGGACAGGCGAAGCCGTGAACTGATTGCCCCAAGCAAATCAAGCAAGGGCCACGATCTGTATCCGGGCACGGCTCGTGCGTTTGCCTGAAATCCCTTTCTGTGCACCAGTTGGAGTTGGATATGTGCACTTTTGGAGTTGGTTGAACTTCTGGCGTTTGAAGTTTGTCGAACATTCTGATTGACCCACATCTTCCATTTGAGCATGTGTCAAGCCACCAAAATATGGACCGCAATTTGTTAGTCAACATGTTTCCATTTGCCACAAGCCTCTTTGGGCTTCCCTGCACCCTCAAGATACTCTCAAAAATGGGCCAAAACGTCAAATTGTGAAGTGACTCCCCTTCTTTTTCTTCTTGGTTCGAATTCCGCACCCTTTTTTGGGCCCACCCACCACCCATCTGGGGCCACCCATCCATGAGACCCGAGCGAGACCCGAGCCCTCCGCGCGATTTTTTGTTCGCGCGCCAGGGACGAGGGCCTGGCGGAAGCGCTGGCCGACGGCTTGCTGGGCCCCTGCGGCGTGGTGGCCACCAACTTCTTGCCCCACGTGGATCTGGCGCCTCGATGCTTCGATCCAACGCCAGATCGTGTCAGTCGTGTCAGTCGTGTCAGTGGAGATATGCCACCAGAGATGTCAGGGCCCCTCTGGACCTGGAATTCATATACATACCAGTAGAGCCGGCGAAGCCGGTGGGCGGAAGTTTCAAAAATATACAAACTATAGTTATCTTTCTCTTTCTTTTCTTGACTCTGTTCTCCGTCATTCTTCCTTTCTTCCTTTCTTTCCTTCCTTCCTCCCTTATTTCCTTCTTTCTATTTGTCATGTCTTTCTTTCTTTTGTTTGCTTGTCTATCTATCTTTCTCTACCTATCTATACCTAACTACCTATCTATCTCTCTATCTATCTTCTCTATCTATCTCTCTATCTCTCTACCTATATATATCTACATATCTCATCTATCTATCTATCTATCTATCCATCTATCTCTCCATCTATCTCCCGCGTATCTATCTATCTATCTATCTATCTATCTATCTATCTATTTATTTATCTGTCTATCTCTCTATCTATATATCTACCTATCTCTCTATCTATCTATCTATCTATCCATCTATCTCTCCATCTATCTCCCGCGTATCTATCTATCTATATATCTATCTATCTGTCTGTCTGTCTATCTATCTATCCATCCATCCATCTATCTATCTATCTATCTCTCTATCTGTCTGTCTATCTCTTTATCTATCTATCTCTATATCTCTCTATGTATCCCTCTGTCTACCTATCTATCTATCTCTCTCTCTCTCTCTCTATCTGTCTATCTATCTATCTATCTATCTATCTATCTATCTATCTATCTATCTATGTATCTATCTATCTATCTATCTATCTATCTATCTATCTATCTATCTATCTATCTATCTATCTATCTATCTATCTATCTATCTATCTATCTATCTATCTATCTATCTATCTATCTATCTATCTATCTATCTATCTATCTATCTATCTATCTATCTATCTATCTATCTATATATCTATCTATCTATCTATATATATATATGTATATATCTATCATCTCTATCTCATTGTCTCACGTGTATTTATCCATCTCTCTATCTCTCTATCTATCTATCTATCTATATTTCTATTTTTCTATAGATCTACCTATCTATCCATCTCTCTATCTACCTCTCTATCTCATTATCTCTACCTATCTATCTATCTATCTATCTATCTATGTATCTATCTACCTCTCTATCTATGTATCTATTTATCTATCTCTCTATCTAACTATTTTTTTCTCTATCTATCTACCTATCTATGTATCTCTCTCTATCTCTGTTTCTATCTATTTATTTATCCCTCTATCTATCTATCTATCTATCTATGTATCTATCTATCTATCTATCTGTCTATCTGTCTGTCTGTCTGTTTATGGTTTATCTATCTATTTATCTCTCTATCTATCTATCTACTTATTTACCTATCTCTTTTTCTTTTTTATTTATATGTCTTTCTATCTCTCTCTCTCTCTATCTCTCTCTCTATCTATCTATCTCTATCTATCTATCTATCTATCTATCTATCTATCTATCTATCTATCTATCTATCTCTTTATCTCTCTCTCTCTCTGTCTATTTATCTATCTATCTTGGTCTCTCTCTCTCTCTATCTATCTATCTATCTATCTATCTATCTATCTATCTATCTATCTATCTATCTATCTATCTATCTATCTATCTATCTATCTATTTATCTCTTTCTCTATCTCTTTCTATCTTGACTTCGCGTACTACTTTCGTACTTAAAAGTTGCGATTTTCCAGCCCCAGCTGCGAAAGTGGGTACTACTTTGGTACTTAAAAGTCGCGATTTTCAAGCCCCAGCTGCGAAAGTGGACTTCACGTACTACTTTCGTACTTAAAAGTTGCGATTTTCGAGCCCCAACTGCGAGACTGGACTTCGCGTACTACTTTCGTACTTAAAAGTTGCGATTTTCAAGCCCGGCTGCGAAAGTGGACTTCGCGCACTACTTTCGCACTTAAAAGTTGCGATTTGCAAGCCCCAGCTGCGAAAGTTGACTTCGCGTACTACTTTCGCATTCAAAATTTGCGATTTTCGTGCCCCGGCTGCGAAAGTTGACCTTGAAAAAGTGCTGCGCCTGCCACGAAATCTGTACTTGACCTTGCGAAAGTGCTGCGCCTGCCACGGACTCTGTACTTGACCTTGCGAAAGTGATACCCCTGCCACGAATTTTGCACTTGACCTTGCGAAAGTGCTGCACCTGCCACAAATTCTGTACTTGACCTTGCGAAAGTGATGCGCCTGCCATGAATTTTGCACTTGACCTTGTGACCTTGTGAAAGTGCTGCGCCTGCCACGAAATCTGTGCTTGACCTTGCGAAAGTGCTGCGCCTGCCACAAAATCTTTACTTGACCTTGCGAAAGTGCCGCACCTGCCACAAAATATGTACTTGACCTTGCGAAAGTGCTGCGCGTGCCACGAAATCTGCACCTGAGCTTTCGAAAGTGTTGCGCCTGCCACGCAATTCAATCCTTGAGAAAAGTTGACCTTGCGAAAGTGCTGCGCCTGCCATGAAATCTGCACCCGACCTCACCAAAATGCTGTGCCTGCCACGCAATTCAAACCTTGCGAAACCTCTGCGTTGCCGTGCCAATGGTCCCGGCGCCGCCCCCGTCCCGAGACCGTCCCGAGCCCGTCCCGCACCCGTCGTCCGTCAGACGCCGCGACTGAGGTAGCTTTCAGCCAGCTCCACACCACCAAACCCGCAGAGGGTTGCTCCTTTTCGCAAATTCTATTCCACCGCCATCGCGAAAGTGCTGCGCCTGCCACGAAATCTGCACTTGACCTCGCGAAAGTGCTGCGCCTGCCACGAAACCTGTGCTTGACCTTGCGAAAGTGATGCGCCTGCCACGAGTTTTGCACTTGACCTTGCGACAGTGATGCACCTGCCACGAATTCTGTGCTTGACCTTGCGAAAGTGATGCGCCTGCCACGAAATCTTTACTTGACCTTGCACCTGCCACAAAATATGTACTTGACCTTGCGAAAGTGCTGCGCGTGCCACGAAATCTGCACCTGAGCTTTCGAAAGTGTTGCGCCTGCCACGCAATTCAATCCTTGAGAAAAGTTGACCTTGCGAAAGTGCTGCGCCTGCCATGAAATTTGCACCCGACCTCACCAAAATGCTGTGCCTGCCACGCAATTCAATCCTTGCGAAACCTCTGCGTTGCCGTGCCAATGGTCCCGGCGCCGCCCCCGTCCCGAGCCCGTCCCGCACCCGTCGTCCGTCAGACGCCGCGACTCAGGTAGCTTTCAGCCAGCTCCACACCACCAAACCCGCAGAGGGTTGCTCCTTTTCGCAAATTCTATTCCCCCGCCACACGCACACGCATGGTTTCTCTCGCGCGCCTTTCATTCTTTCTTCTTCCTTCCCTGCACTTCAATTAGTTTCCGTAACTCGGAAGTTTCCTTCTAAACTTCCTTTGATAAATATATGTAGAGAGTAGAGAGATATGTATTCATATGCGCATACGGTATATACATGTGGTTGTATGATTCATCTATGTGTCTCCTCGTAAATATACGGTTCGGCGATATCTTTTGGGTGGCAAACAAATCGTTTACGATGCAGACGCAGTCGGACGACGCAGTCGGACAGTCTCAGGGAAGAGAGTTGTCACAGTTGTCTTTGTGGGTACCATTTTTGCTGGGTTTGAAAGGGAGTTTGAAAGGGAAACCGTAAGAGGAACATCACCTCTAAAGCAAGGCCTTTCTCCATGGCCGCTAGGGACTTCAGACAAGCCACAGGGTTGGTGTTGGGAGCCAGGCTGAGGGTATCCAAAATTGCTGTTAAAGAGGGGGCTTTCAAGGAGCTACCAGGAGTTCTGCAAGAACATGGTAGATCTGGAGCAACTTGATCAGGGCCATGAAGAATTCAAAGGTGTAGGGAAGCTACAGGAAAGGCAGGTCATGCATCGATGTTGGTTTGGCATTCAGCAGGTGTTGGTTTTTTGTGCAGTGAGCTGGCAAAGGGCGAAGGGCAGGGAAGACTACACCGCTTGGTTTCAGCGGCTTAGCGCCCGGTGTTCACCCTTTGGTTGTCGTCTCACATTCTAAGGTTCATGTTGGCCACTGGTTAACCCTTTGTATGTGGGTCTTTTGTGGTTTTGGTTGGGCAAGTGAGCAATGGAACCGGAAGACACCAGCGCTAAAAGCTCAAGAACATCTGAGAGATGCTGGAAATGAACCTCAAGGGTCCCCTTGTTCAGTGGAGGGTCTGGATCAACCCGGAAACTACGCATCAGTGATTCCTTTGTGGGCCAAGCACAAATGGGCGAACATTGACCCAGGTGAAATGGCCCGCATTGACATGTGGGGGTGTCTGTTTTTGTTGAGGGTGCTCTTATTGGGATGGTTTTAACAGGACATCAAAAAAACACATTTCGATGTTTGTGGGTCTCCTATTTCAAGACACCCATATACTCACTCCCTGAGTTCCTGGGACTTTGTAACTTTGGGGGGTGTCGACCATTTTATTTGGACCTGTTCAACTCAAAACTTCCAGGACTTTTGGGCAATCCAATCCTCACTTGCCCAAAGGTTCCCCTGGCCAACTGAGAACCTGGACTTTGGCAGTCGCAGGACTGTTCTTGCTGGCCTTCAGCAGGGAATGAGGTTGACCCTTATAAACCGTCCAACTGGTGATTTCCTTTAAGAACACTCCTGGGTTCCTTCCACATTCCCTGCTGAGCACCAGCAAGTCTTGGCCAATCCGATCAAGTACAAATGCAGCGGGGGAACCTGTGGCTTCCGCCTAGGCAGCTCCCTTGGCAGCCTATGGCAATGCCTTGGCCGCCAGACCAGGGCGGGGGTTTTCAATACAGGCGCGTCGTTTCGAGCCGCGTCGAGTGGTTGCTTTTTGGGTTGACGTGGATGGCAACTTCAGCTTTCTGCGGTTTTTTGGGCGGATGACTGACCCGAAATCAGGAAATAGGTCTGACGAACGACCAATTTGCAAAGTATTGTGGGGAGCATGCGGCAGTGGCCAGACTAGCAACCAGTGAGAGACTAGTGTCAAGGATATGCGGGTATAGGTTTGGAGGTGAAGGTTGTGAGACCGTCAAAGGGGAATGGTGCTTGTAGGGCTGTTTAAATGGTATACATATATGGCTGTGGGTCACGACCAATGGTACCATTTTGGGGTAGGTGCACCACCCATTTGATGTTTAGTGGGGGTACGGGCTTTTGACCCATGGCCATATTTCGACGTGTAGATACATATGTGTGTATATATATATATATACATATTCGCGAAGAGGGCGAAGCTCCTGTCGGACGCGCGCTCGATTGGGCCAGGTGAATAAGCCTGTCACAGTGGACAACGACTTGGACAAGTTTTTCGATTCCGCCGTCGGCCAAGTCGTGTCTGGCTTGTTTGGGGGAAGGGTTCCCCTTGAAACTCAACCAACCACAACAGGATGCCCTTTTGTTCTCTCATGGCCACTGGGCATGGTTTGGAGGTTAGCGGATGATTTCCCATTTACATCCACTACTCACTGGACCATTTGTCTCCCCAAATCAGTAGCGCAGTGCTCCCCGATGGAATTTGAAGCTGCGTTTGCCTTTCAGCTCAACAGAAAAGGTCCCTTTTTCCTGCCGCCGCTTGTGCAAACAAGTCCGTCTTTTTTGCATACTCATCTGGAACCACCAAAAGTGTTTTTGAGGAATATCCTTGTAGCAGACTGTTGTTGGGCTGTTGTTCATTTGCAGGGGAGTATTTCCAGATTCCATGTTGGATCCGGGGAATGTCCCCGGAGCCCGTCAAAGCTGTCGGGCCAAAATCGTCGAAGCCGTTGGGCTCCCAACCGAGGTGGAGGGCACCGGCAACCGCGGCTTGGCGCAGAAAACTCGCCCCTCTGAATTCGTGAGCGCTTAAATTGAGGGGGTGGGGAGGGGGAGGGAGGGGGAGGGGGAGGGGGGGGACTTTCTTGGGATTGTCTGAAAAAGGAAAACCACTCTTCTCTTGTCGCAGCCACAAACTGGGGGAGACTAGGCGTGGCATTGCGTTCCGCCCTGCACATTCAGGCAGCCATTCTGTGGCCGGAGAGTCTTGCACACGTCCAGTCGCCCGTGCCACTTTTTTGGCCCAGGCCTTGTGGCCAAAATGATAGCAAGATACAGGGCTCCTTCAAAGATCTACATTTTGCCCATTTGAAACATGGCTTTTTCCACCAAAATAAAGGGACACCACCATTTACTAGGCAATGTTCAGGTGTATATTGTAAGGATCCCTGAGATAGCTTAGACGTCAAGGCCCAACGGGGTTAGCCGTGCCGGAGCAATTGTTTTCGTCAGCGCTCAAGATGACACCTGGTGACTACCCGTCTCTCTCAGAACAGGGAGCCTTTCTTCTTTGGCGCTGAAGTGCATTTGTCCCAGGTGGGTGTCCCGGACCCCCAAAATTGTTCTCCCTTTTTTTGTTCCTTGAGCCACCCTGTGTGAAGGGCACCCTATGAAGACACGCACAGACCCGTACAAGATGTGTACGAAGGTCCCGACCGCTGTTCAGAGCGCATTTCTGTAATAGATGGGCTGAGCCAATCGGATTGGCGGATCTCCAGCGTCTTGCGCGAGACACATCTCGTGGGCCCCTGGATAGATTTCAAGAAACAAGAGGAAACGGCTGCCGGCCCCTCCCCAAAGAAAATAAGCTGGATCAGCGAATTTGAGAAACACCCATGGCCTAAACCTATGGTTTATTGGGTTAATCCGGTCTATATCCAAAGAGAGGCGGCCAGATGGGGAGCAACACATGCCCTGCAGCCAGGCATTGCCGTCCACATGTGTGGCCCGTTTTAGCCTCGGAGCCCGCTGGGCTTGGAAGGGAAAATCTGGGCGTCAAGTAGCGGGCGATACTTTGGATCTCTCACTTCCTGAGTTGATGGACTTTAAACTTTTTGGAAAGACCATTTTAGCGGTAAATAAAAAGTTCAGACTTTTTTGGCCAGTCAACTTGGGAAGTGAGATCTTGCCCCAACCATGGCTGTCCTTTTTGGTTTGGTAGGACATGATGGGCGATTCTGGTTGACCTGGTTGTTGCAGAATCTACCAGATCTACCAGGGCGATTTTCATCTGCCCAAAAAGGGGCACCCATGACTGCCAATATCGTTGGGTGATTTTCCTTTGCCAGGGTAGTTTGAGAGTCCAGTCAGATTTTCGCAAGAAACCCACGGAGGGATGGATAACTTTGGGATAATTGTCCAAATTAACACCCGGCCAGTAAAAAATGTGTCCTAAGTAGACACTCGGGTTTGGCCCGTAGAAGAAAACCAAAACGTGAAGCAGCTTATATATAGCATTTTGAGACAAACCCAGTTGAGACTGGGGTTTATTCATCTTTAAAGTACATTGCCTTGCGTTCAAATGTCGAAGTTTTCGCAGGGATCATTTTTTGTATAAGGAGCTTCTGGAAGCCAACTGTTGTCTTCAGAACTTATTGCGGGACTTCTTAGTCCTGGTACTTTTCAGGCCAGTGTCGAAAAGTAGGATACTGGTTTGAGTTTGGTCATGTTTGTCCTAGACATCTGCCAGTGCCATTGAATGGATGCCAACAAGTGCCGATTTGTTGGTTTTCAAATGGGTCTGCGTAGATCTAGTCGTACCAGCGCCGTGGGTCGATTTGGTTGAAACAAAAGCATGGTTTTGTTGTTTAGTTTGGAAATCCCCTGGAAAATGGGAACAGTGGACGCAAATCCACAAACTCTGTCCTCCAAAGGGCCAATCAAAAGTCATACCATGCCTGATAACGCCCAGGATAAACCCGGCGAATTCATCAAGGATGGAAGGTCCCCCCAAAAAAAAACACGGATATGCTGTTTGGGAGTTAGGATCCATAGGAAAAGGCCGCGTGCATGCGGGTTTGGGTTGAGACTAGGTGGATCAAACGAGTGAAGCCCTGAAAAATCCCCCCCCCGATCTGCCAATTCATTGGCCCTCCCGCAGGAACTCGCTCGGCCCAAAGGCTTCGGTCAAGATGAGGCCAAATGCCAGGGGGTCAAAAATCGGGTAAACCCAAAATGGCGCATGCCCTGGTACACATGGACTAGAATCTGCGGCCCACCCCAATGGCGCAAGCCCTGGTACATGGACTAAAATCTGCGGTGCGTATTTCCTGGTGGTTTGAGATTGACCCACACCCAAATAGCAGAAGTTCTTGGCCTTGCTGCTTACCGATTGCCAAACAACATGAGGACTCAGACGATCTGGTGACCCCTTGGGTTCTCAGAGGCACCAAAGGCAAAAGCAAATGCGTTTGCGCCGTCCATGTGTAAGAATTTGTTTTATTTGTCCCTCTTGGTTTTAAAGGGAATCCATCACTGGATTTGTTTGTTCCCACAAGCAAGCAAGCAAACAACTCGCCAGACACACACAGGCACAAAAAACGCGAAAAGCAACTGGAGTCAACAACTACAGGCTCTGTTTGAGCCAGAACAATCACACGCCTGGTGTTTCCAACAAATAAGCCAACAAGGAGAAAAACACGCAAGCAACCAAACAAACAGACACTCAGTCAGAGACAGTCAGACGAACAGACAAACAGACAGACAGACAAGCAAGCAAGCAAACAAACAAACAAACAAACCACGACGCATGCGCTCAACCACCACTATCCTGTTCTTTTCTCTCAAACTGACAGAGCTTCCAGTTCCCGAATTCGGATTCAAGCCAGCTAGCCAGCCAACACTCTAACACACCGGTTGCGGGAAAGCCTCCAAGAAATCGCAAGGTTTCGAGTGTTCCAGAGTTTTGCATCTCCTTTTGAGGGTTTTCCTGTTTTGGTGGGCTTTAAAGGACAACAGGAAACAATACCACCATGTATTTATGTTATTGATTGGGGTGCCTAAAACAAAAAAGGACACCCATGTCCCTACAAAAACAAGCAGGACACGCCGTCCTGCATGGGATTTGTTTTTCCTTAGGCCGGAGCTCATGAAGGCGCCTTTGGCTCAGTTGGAGCAGGTGCTGGTGGCGGAGGCCAAGAAGGTGGGGTCTCGTCGCTGGACGGCCGGCCGCAAGGGGGGGTGGGGGGGGGGGTTGGGTTGGCGAGGGGTTGGCTTTTGTGGAAATTGACGTGAGGTGGACTCTACAAGTAGGCTCTCTGAGATTGATGGGTTTTGCGGGGTCTGTTGTTTGGATATGTGAGGCTTCACTTGAACATGAAACAGGACCCGAACGTTTTCCGTGTCCCCGGATGTGGGCCAATGGGTGGGGCATTTGGGTCTCTGGGCTTGCCCTGCAACATGGTCAGCAGGCCGACAAAGGGAACCCGGTCATTCTCGGTCAAGGGAATACTTGGAGGCTCGTGGTGCTTACTATTTGTTTGCGTTGGTTGCTTTTCAGTTGCAAAACTTATGGCAGGCTTAGCAAGGTTAGCGGGGTGCAGTTGCACCAGATAGCTAAAAGGTTTTGCGTCAGTTACCCAACTGAACAAAGATAGTTGTGTATCTGCGGTAAACTGTTTGTGGCAACAAGTTATCAATGGTCAGGCTGACACGTTCGTCCCTCAAGTGCCAGGGGCAGGGCAGTGCGACGCTCACTCGCAAGCAAATTGTACATGGTAAGTGTTGACCGACTCGCGCCGCGGGCAGGGCATTGTCATGCTCGCTCGCAGGCAAACCGTGCATGGAAAGTGCTTATTTTACCTCGGCGCGACGATAGCATCCGTCCCTTTGCGGGACCAAACGCACAAGCTAACAATGGTGTGGCTCTCCACCAGCACGGGATCATCACACACTTTGTGCATGAAGTTTGAAATGTGCGCCCATGGATTTAGACACGTCAACAAGCGCTGGCCTGATTGCGCGTGCCAGCAAACCTCCGCCACACGCAGTGCCCCATCCACATGGACTTGCACCACGTCTCGCGCCCGCACACGAAACCCAGTTTGCGTGGCTACCTCGCTCGCTGTCGTGACTGGATCTTGGAACCCAAGCTCCAGTAGCAAGCGCTGGAGCGATTTGGGCGCAGCCCGAGGCTTCACCAGAATACATGGCCTTGCAAGTGGCAACTCTGCAGGGTCATCCAGCGCTAGCAACTGCGTGTGCAGGACATCACTGAGCAAGCTGGCTTCAAAGGCTTTGCTAGTGTCTGTCAATTGGTTTGCAAAGCGCTTCAGGAGCTTATGCTTGCGCTCGTGTACAAAGCACGAATGCAACGTGCCATGCCTTTCCAAAAACAAAGGCAAACCATGTGGTTCTTGGGAACCCAGTGCTCCTTCCCCCATGTGTCCAAAAATGCACTGGAATGTTCGTGGATGGCCTTGGCCAGGTCATTGCTGCTCACTGGCTCCCCGTGGCCTATCTTGCATAGGAAGTCCATCACCGTGCAAAGTAGCAAGAAGGACCGGCATGCTTTCTGCACCTCTCCCACCGCTTTCGGCGCGACAAAAATCAAAATGTACACGCGTAACAGCGGCAAGATGTTGAGGAGCTCTGAAGCAGAGCACTTTGCTGGCTCGCTTCTGGATTCCCGCTTCGAAAAAATGTTGGCAGGCTTGGCGCCCCTGAGCTGGGCAGGCCACTCGAAGGAGTTGAGGAACTTGTTGACTTGCCCTGTGGGCCAGTCTGATTTGGCTAAAACTCCGAGTAACAGCCCACACTCAGTGTTTGCAATTCCGTGGACAAGATAGACGTGAAGGTAGTCAAACATGACAGCGCTCAGAAGCTTGGGGCCAAAAAGTGGACTGAGAAGCAAGCCTCCAGGAATGTGGTTGTAGCCAAGGGCTGTCTGCAGCCTTTCAAAAGCCACCTTTCCCAAAATATGTCGTTGCTCTTGCAGGTGCTGAGCCGTCCGATGAGCGGACTGATCTGTATGCAGCACAAAGCGATCCGTGTTGATTTCCAAAGAGGACACCAAGCCTTCAGAAAAACACGCCAAATTACTGCTCTCACTCACGACGTTCTGGCACAGCATGCACAGCAGCGTGCCCGCCGACCCCTTGTTCTCAACTGTCTGCTTTAGCGCCACCTCGTCTGAGACGAAGCATGCCAACTCGGCAAACAGCATGCGCGCGTTGCCCAGTGGATTCAGAAACACGCCAGTGCCCAGCCCCGGCGCGCCGAAGAATACGGGAAGCAAGCTTGCCCAAAGTATGGACATCCCGCCCATCGAGGCAACTGTTGACGACTTCAAGGCTGTGAGCACGAACCAACAATTTTCACAGGATAAGGCCCTCTGACCCAGCTCGCGGAAAGACCAGTAGATGGTCTGCAGCTTCCTGTTGTTCTGATGGCGAAGCTGATTTCCAGGCGCGACCTCGTCGCAATAGACGACGAGGTGCCATGGACTCTGGAAACTAGGCGGCGCTGCATCCATGCGTTCTTGAAAAAGGGCAGCCATGCCAGGTCTACACTCCAAAACATGGCACAGCAGGCACACTGGGTCGACGTACTTGATCGACACTGCCTTGCCAGGCACAACCAGAGAAATATCCATTGCGCGCATTAAGGGGCCAAACTGCGTAGCGGTGTCAGCCAGAGCAGCTTCCCGAGCGCGTTTGATGGATGATCTCGACGTCACATCGGGCACCTCGCCGCTGTCCTTGATGGCTCTCAGCACTGAGGACAGGCCACGCTGCGACACATAGGATTTGCGGCCGAGCTGGCATAGCAAGGCCGCCTGCCGCGCATCGCTCATGGCAAGATCATGGACGCATGAAGCGCGGCCTTCCTGGCGAGCTGCATGCCCTGCCAGGAAGCCTAGCAGCTACACAGCCTCGTGAAAACCAAAAGGAAAAGCACAAAGAACATTGAAAGGAACTCAGCAAAGTTGTCGGTGCAAACTAGCCACTGATGGTGGTACCCAAACAGCCGTGAAAGACAAAATGCAATTTGCATGGCGGCTCTTGTGTCAATGGATTTCTGCATCATCTGCAGTGTACACGTTTGCACGCAAATGTTGTGTGGGTATATCGTAGACATGTTTGTGTCCATCAAAAATGCTGGAGGTACACAGCGCGGGCGCCACAACTGCTTCTAGTGAGACAAAAGAAATCGGCATGCGGCACAAGCGCTCTGCGCCGGCCTTTTTTGCTCCCCTTGCAAACAAGTCTACGTGCAAGATGGGAAATGGCCCAACCGTGCATGTCGTGGCGCACAGTGCAAAACCTGGAAGTGTCAGAACCACATGCTGTTTGATGCCAAACAGTGCTAAGCAAAAACTCGAGCCAACATCGCATGTCATACCTGTGGATGCCACGCACTACGCACCATCATGTGACCCTACGCCCTTCCAATGCAAGACTGCATTGCAAGCACCCCCGAGGAAATCTTACAACGGGCTATTTCTGTACGAAACAGCTTGGGCAGCACGGTGGCTGCCAGCGGCATTTGCCACAGCCGTTTGGCCGCAGCTTGAGGATTTCCTTCCTACTCATCTGTACTTTGCGCGAGCCTTTTCAAGACTCGAGGCTGGCTTGACCTTGGCCTTCGCAGCTGCCCTGGCCTTGGCCTTGGCCTTGGCCTTGGCTTGCGCACTGCCATGCTCGTCATCAGCCTCCATGCGCGCAGCCGGCCGCTTCATCGGCTTGCTGGTCTTCTCGGCGCCGCGCTTCTCATTGTCGCGAAGTTCCCACGCGTGGAGCATTTGCTGTGCTTGCTTCTCTGGGTCCATTGGAGACATGGCGCCTGGGCCACCAGCACCAGGACTATCCGTGGGGCCTGCCAAGGGCGGAGCTGAAACAGTGGGAGACGGAGAGGTGCTTGCTGCAGAAGTCAGAGGCGGGCTAGCTGTCTCAAGGTGCTGCCAGAAGGCGGCGTGACTGTAGTGGCCGAAGCACTGCCAGCACTGCTGGATCCCTGGTGGTCCTGCAGCGCCAGCTGTGGCCGCTGCTGGCGACCCAGCAAAGTGATGGTGGGCTGCGTCGGTTGCCCTTGCTGCGCCTGGAGCGCAGCCAGCAAGAGGTTCAAGCTCTGCAAACCCCTGCAGGGCGGAGTTCGCATTGCTTGGTGTCACCAGCTTGTTGGTCTTACGCAGCGGCCCCTTGCCAATGGCGATGCCCGTGGACTGGCCGGCAGGCTTCTCCGTGGCGTAGGCGCTCTGGTACAAGACATCTGGCAGCTCCGCAGGTACAGCCGGGAATGCTGTCAGGTGAACTGGCGGATCTCCACGCTTGAGCCGCGCTTTAAGCTCACACTTGAACTCCCGCTTGGATGCAAGAAAGGCATTGGGCTCTTGCAGCTCCGCAGCTCCCAGCCCAATGAGGCCGATGGAATAGGCCACATCGGCTGCCCTCGCAATCTTCAAGCGCAAAGCTGAAGGCCCGCTCAAGAATTCCACGTCGGAAGCCTTCAGGAAGGGCCCGAAATCCTTGAGATGTTGGAGCTGCTTCTTCTTGGTTGGCTGTTGCACACTCTGCGCGAGCCCGTCCGCCACCACCTTGCAAAGTGAGGCTTTGTCAGCGTCCGAGAAGGAGCTGGAAGCTAGCTTTGTCGAGGCAACCGACGCATCCTCCGGACACAAGCTGTGAGAAGCCAGCGATGTAGCAAGTGCAGCGCAATGTGCCTTGCGCACGCTCTCAAAGGCTTGAGAGGACGCAAGAGCTCCACCAAGCAACTCATTGACTGCGGACACACGCGCCATAATCTTCTGGAGCGCCATGAGAGAACGGGCGCCCGCGCGCAGGGCAAAGAAGTTGGACCTACGAAGCTGGAAAAACAAGCGGGAAGCTGCAAAATGTCAGGAAGGCAAGCCAAAAGCAAGTCAATCTGGCTGTGTAAGCTATAAAAATCCATGATTCAACGCCATCTCGACACACCGCAAGCCACGCATGTTTTACTGCGGTCTAGCGCTGCAATGCAAAACGATCAAAATCGGGCCGAGTTCACACAAGGTCTAGGCCTTTTCCTGGTATTTCTTCTAGGCCTTTTCCTTGATTCGCAGCAGCCGCAATGCAATCAGCATGAGACAAGATCTACGACATCAACGTGCAACGAGCCAATCAATTTCCACGAGCTACTGAAGCAAAACAAGTGCATCCAAAACTCGCCCAGATAGCGGACACACCTTACACCTTGTTTTCATGCACGGTGACAAACGCAAGTGCATATTGGTTTGGATAGTTGCTGGCCGAGTGATGGCCGAGTGATGCATTTCA